CAATACACTTGCCCGAATGAATAACAAGTAATTCGCACACAGTGATTCGCGCAGTTGTGTTACGGTCTTGTCAAACATCAAAACGCGTGAAAGAGTTATTTTGCAAAGCATGGGTGTTGAATGTCATTCAATGCCACTAAGCTGTGGACATCTCTTTTCGGCTATACGGCAAACAACAGAACTAACGCTGAACATGAAAATGACATGTTCAATCGTGTTTGTTTCGTTAGTTTCAACTGTGCCGCTACGAGAGGTCACTTTTGTCGTTTCTTGTTGTTATTTTACATGTAAAATCAATGGTATTAGACGAGGATGTTGCAAAGAGTGTGAACAGTCGGTAAATTCAATTCAGATATTCTCATCACAGCCGGCGCGAGTGACGAAAGCACCTCTGTGCTGAAAGTCGAACTCGCCTGTATATACACGCAATTTCGAACTTTTTTCCTAAGAGGGCATCTGGTATGAATGAAGTATCGGTAGAAATTCCCTGGCTCATAGGCCCAGAAAATGCATTCAAACTTGGGAATCGACCAACCGCCTCCATAGAAATAGAACTTGGAAATTATGTACAATTATCAGTTTTTCCCATTTACCGTGTGTTGAACGCAGCCCGTTCATCTTGAAGCATGTTTTTTCTGAGCCTTCTCATCGAGACCTTTCCAATAAGCCCGAGAACGTTGAAATTGGACCATTCGTTCATGAGTTATGACGATTTAAAAAATTTCTTTGGCGTCTCTACCAATCATTCTGAGATAATATTTTTTCTGTCCGTCCGTCTGTCCGTAGTTTTTGCCCGATCTTTTTTAAACTTTCAGGCATTGAAGTATATCAAAAACTAAGACTTTTTTGTTCCGACATTTTTTGATTTGGCCGCCACCTTGGCCTTGGCCGGCCTTTGGAAATTCAAAATATGGCCTTCTTTCCAATGATCACTGTGCCTAACCCAGTCAACCGATTTCAAACCTTTGGGTATCGTTGGAAAGGTCTTGAGGCCAGCTATTAAATGACATCTATTTTAATTTAAAAAAATTGAGTGGGCATGGTCTTATGGGCAGGAGACCAAAAAAATGGTCACCTGGCCTTGCATAAGTCGGCCATTTTCTCGAAAACGGCTCCGACGATTTTTTTAAAAATTCTCTGGAATTTAGCCCCAAGTTAGAGCTAAAATTTGACATATAGCTTAAATCTAGCAAAACTCTGTTTTTCGAGATATAGCAATTAGAAGTTGGAAAAAAACATGAAAAATCGACAAAAATCAACTAAAACTCTTTTTTGTTGCCGTTGACAATGGAAAATTCATGACCAAAGTGTTTTTGCGTTCAGGTGAATAAAATTCCTTCAGATACCAGCCCCTCACCAAGTCTTTTTATTCCACGCAATCAACAAAAAACACAAAAAAGTACTTTTCATGAAAAAATCAAAATCAAATTCATCATGAAAAAACTAAACATGTGATAGTTTCTTAGTATGAAAGCGATATGTAATTTCATCAAAACAAAATGTAATTTCATCTGTCTGTCCAAAAACCAAATTTTATTTAACGAAAAAAATTGTTTTTATTTTTTTTCCTCCGGTGTGCGACTCGAACTCGAGTCCACACGCTCATAAGTCTGCTTTCCCACCTACGCGCTGATTTTGCTTTATTCAAAAAGGCGACAATGCTGGTTTTTAACTACAACATTTCATGTTGTTGTGTATTAGGGAAAGACGTCTGCTCAATAGTACTGTGTGAACTAAACTAATGTTGAATGTGGACGAGACGTCACGCTCATTTAGTACAGTTCAGTTTGACAGCTAGCGACTTTTACTTTTCACATTTACATTCATTCCGTTTATACCGCTACAATAGAACAGTCATTGAAGTCATATGTACATACATTGAATTTCACAACATTACATCATTCTTTTGTTTTATTTCATAATTAGTTTCCAGATTATTATTGAAGTTATTTCGATCAAGGCAAGTTAAATATCATTCGGATAAAGGATATTTTACAGGTTATGGGCCCAGTGAATGAAATAAACGTAAAGTAAGAAGGAATAAAGCGTGAAATTGTTTAAGTAAAATCAAGACGATCACAACGGAGGCACGAAACAAATTTTTGCATGCAGAAAATGGCGGAGTCAGCAAAACAGAAATTCGTCAAGTTGAACGACAGTAATTATGCGAATTGGAAGTTCAGAATGGAATTGCTACTACGAAAGCAGAATTTGTGGAAAAAGGTGATTGAGGGAACAAAACCGGAGGCTGTAGAGGGTACTGGTGGCGCAGTAACAAATCAAGCGGCAATCGACAAATGGGAAGAGAACGATGAAGCAAGAGGCACGATTGGTTTAGCTGTGGAAGATAATCAGCTTGCATTGATTCGTTCGAAAAAGACCGCAAAGGAAACATGGGACGCACTGAAAAATTATCATGAGAAGAATTCTCTTTGGAACAAATGTTTCTTGGTGCGATCAATTTGTGCGTTGCGACTTGAAGAAGGCGGTGATGCAAGGGCACACGTAAACCGAATGGAAGACTTGTTTTCAAAGTTAAGCGATCTGGGCGAGACGGAATTATCGAATTCAATTAGACAATACTTGTGTTGAGCAGTTTGCCGGAAAGTTATGATACATTGGTGCAGGGACTTGGTGCACGTGTTGAAGCTGAGGTCACATTCGAAGTGGCGAAGCAACATATTATTGCTGAATATGACCGACGTGTAAAAGCAGTGGGCGGTGCAAGTGATTCCGTTTTGAAGGTGATTGAAAAGGTTGCTCTTTGTTTCTTCTGTAAGAAACCCAGTCACCAAAAGAAAAATTGCCCAAAGTATAAGAACTGGTTGACAAAGAAAAAGGCCAAGGATGGAAAAGGAGCAGATAAAGTCAATTCGGTGGAGGAAAGGGAATTTTTGTATTCATTTGGTCACACACAAAGAGACAGTTGGCTCATGGACTCAGGAGCAACTAAACATGGCGTGAAAGACAAAAGCTTCTTCACTGAAATCGATGAATCATACAGAGGCACCATTGAAGTCGCAAATGGTGAAATACTGAAGGTGCTTGGAATTGGCACGGGATATTTGACGTTTGTGAATGAAAACGGATGCATTCATAAGGCAAAGGCAACCAATGTTTTGTATGCACCAAAATTGGTTGGAAATGTAATTTCGGTCAGACGATTGACAAAAGATGGCTTCAAAGTAGAATTCGACGATCGAATTTGTGAAATCAAGTATAAGGGACAACAGATCGGTGTGGCTGATACAGTTGGTGAAATGTATGTATTGCGCCAGACGGAATCGATGTGTGCGGTGTTGGCACACAATGAGAATTGCATACATGAATTACATCGGAAAATGGGACATCGTGATCCAGCGGCAATTCGGAAAATGGCATTGGACGGATCGATTGATGGACTTAAAATTGTCGACTGCGGAATCAAAGAAGTGTGCGATGTGTGCATAAAGGGTAAAATGACACGATTACCGTTTCCAAAGAAATCATTGAATGAGTCATCAGCGGTATTGGATTCAATTCATATTGATGTTTGCGGACCAATGCGTACAGCGACTGCAAGTGGAAAGCGATATTTGTTCACATTTATTGACGATTATTCGGGTTTTACATTCGTTATATTATTGACACACAAATCGGAAGTTGAAGACACCATGAAGCAGTTCATTGCATTGTGTGAAAATAAATTCGGTCGCAAACCAAAAGTAATACGCTCGGATCGGGGAGGTGAATTCACATCAAAGGAGCTCACCAAGTATTTAAAGTCACAGGGAATCCAGATACAGTTAACAGCAGCAGATTGTCCACAACAAAACGGAAATGCTGAACGAGAGAATCGCACGTTGATTGAAATGTCGAGATGTATGCTCATCGATGCGGGATTGCCAAACAGTTTTTGGGGTGAAGCTGTAGCAACGGCAAATTTCATCCAGAATCGGGTAATCACAAGAACGACAAACATGACACCGTACGAACGATGGAACAACACGAAACCAGGTATAAACAGTTTTCAGATATTTGGTTCTAAATGTTTTGTTCATGTTTCATCAGCTAAAAGAGGAAAGTTGGACAATGTAGCTATTGAAATGATCTTTCTTGGATACGACGATAATTCGAAAGCATATAGGTGCTACAACGCAACAACAAGAAAAGTGGTGATAAGTCGAGATGTTCGATTCTGCAAACCATTCACGGCAATGAACGAAATTTCGATCGATTTGGGTGCAACACCACAAAAGAATCAAGCAGCAGAAAATCAAGTTGATAATTCGTCGGTTCAGGAGGAGTCATCGAATGCAAATCAGGGAAACATCTCAGACCTTGATAATACTATCGACGATTATGGTAGCGCTGAGGAGGATATATCAATCGAAACACCTGTTAATGAAAGTGGGGTTGAAGTCGAAGTCGAACAAACTCAACCAGAGTTGCGTGTTTCAAAAAGAACGACCAAGGGTATTCCACCAAAGCGATTAATCGAAGAAATGAATATGGTTAGAGAGATGAATGAACCGAAAAGTTACAATGAAGCAATCGAAAGCGACGAAAAGGCGCAGTGGCTTGCTGCAATGCAAAAGGAAATTGAAGCGCACCAGCAGAACGGAACATGGAAGCTGGTGAATTTACCTCCAGGTAAAAATGCGATCGGAAGTAAATGGGTTTTTAAGGTGAAGACAAGCGCAAATGGAGAATTGCAAAGGTTCAAAGCAAGATTCGTTGCGCAGGGATTTTCGCAAAAGTTCGGCGAAGACTACGATGAAGTTTTCGCACCGGTGGTACACTAGCCTGGCCATTTTTGCAACATTACCTTATATCATCGCTCCCCGGGCTGAAAAAGTTTCCTTTTGATGTTAAAAAAACAATTAAAAAATTTGAAACCGATCGGACAATATTTGATGGACCCATAAAATCTATGTAGTTGGAAAAAGTCAATTTTATTGAAATTTCGTCATTTTTCGTTTTTTTTTCTTACATAAATGACTACAATACGCTAATTACTGCGGCAGATATATCTATATCAATTTTGGAATATTCGTTAGCGGCACGCAAAAAATTCAAATCTTGATTGGGAGATTCAATAGAATTCGTACATCCGTACCAGACTTTAATGTAAATTTTAACGACAAAAATTGAAACATCTCGAATAGAATTGAGCTCTCTCTTAGATAAATTGAATTGGCCACGAAACAGGAAAATTTTCAGACAATAAATTGCTTTTGACATAAATCTTGCATTAGAGGTTGCACCACATGTACGAAAAGCGCCGCCGTCACCACCAAGGAATGTGATCGTGAGCTCCAACAGCTCCTTATAATCGCTACGTATTTGAGTATGTTTGATTTGTTCACGTTCATCATTGGGAATTTTTGAGCAGACAATTGAGTCATCAAGGCCAGAATTGAATTGATCTCGTTTGATTTCGTGCCATACATCAGCGAATCGATTGAAAATTAGAGTTTCAGGTGCACTGCTGCTGCCATACTTCTTCTCAAAGACATTTTTAAGCACAATTTCATGAACATGATGGCGGCATGCAAGATAAATGAGTTTCCGGCCGAGAAGTTCTTCCAAAAGAACACAAGCACCACTTTTATGGCCAGTATTTGAGGAAGTTGTATCAAAGCTGCAGGCCACAACTCTTTCAGAAATGTTCCATTCAACTAGAATATTATAAACGGCTTAAGCAATATGTTTTCCCGTACCCGATTCAATTTTCGGAGCTCCTAAAAATTTGAAACTTCCATTGTAGCTAACAAGAACTGCTATACGATCTACCTTGGATCTGCCGCACAAATCATTCAAAATTTTTCCATCCCAGTGAACCACTAAACGATCGTTAGTACTTAACTATTTTATAGTAAAATAAAAGGATAGAAAAAACTTAAATATACATTAAAAACACGTGTAAAATTCGTATTACGTTGTCTATGAAATCGGATTTTGATTCATCATATTGAATTCGTCGATTTTCCTCACGCGATTCTTATAGAGAAGTACAATTTAGGACTAAATTATCGGCAGGAATCTTCAAAGCATCTACCGTTGCCATCAATATATGCATCGCCTCTCTGTTCGACAACTGATCGCGAAGAAAAAAGAAGAGTTCGAAATGATCTTAATTTTTCAATCTCATTTTTTTTACCTTCGCTTTATCAAGTGCGGCGCATAATCGTGGTGTAATCCATTTCTTTTTCGGAGTGGAGCGGCGTGTCTGTTGTGGTGGTACTTCAAAAACATCATGTACTTCTGTATTGTATTCAATATCCGAATCACCTTCATAATTTACTATAATGGATTAAAATGAGCAATAATAATTGGATAAGCAGCAGTCATACTAACCAGATTGTTGCAAATTCGTGGCTTGCTCATGTCTTGTTTTTCGTGCGTCTTCCTTTTCTTTCCGCAATTTCGATCTTTCTTCTTTGCCTGCCAATTTCATATCGACACCCAACATTGAACCTGGTCGTCCTTTTTGCCGCTGTTTTTCCAAAAATTCTTTGTCTTCTTCATTTCTCATCGTCTCCAGAGCATCGGCAGCGGCAATGTCAAAAAGATCATCTAAATCGTCCATGAAAGAACTAAATTTTTCTTTCATTCCGAATGACATTTGTTCCACCTTTACTTTGTTAAAGGCTTTCCAGTCATCGTAAATTTTAACAATTTTGTCGGTACATTTATCTTTTCGGCGAGTTGGTATACGTGCTTGCTGCCAAAATATCAAAACAGCATCAATGGTTAGATTTGCGCTCTCTTTGGCACTTAATTTCACAAAATGCATGTTATAGAAAAACACTTCCAAAACTTGTCTGTTCGACGGCAACTTAGCTCCAACAATTTGATGTGAAACGTGCCCAATCGTGCCCAATCAAAGCAATTTGTCGTTGTTTTTCATCAGCCTTACGCGTTTTCACCGATGAAACACTTGATTCCAATGATTTTGCCATTTTTATCATAAATTATTTGGAATATTGAACAGCTTATTTGTTGCACTTGATGATGAAAATGATGAAATACATTGCACAATGTTCACAAGTTTGACGTTTAAATTTGACTTTGACACTTCGACTCGTGAATGAACGCTTTGGTTGAAAATGATCAACCCTGCACATACTCAAGCGTCGTAAATCGTTGCTAATTTGAATTAAAACAATAAATTCACCATTATATATCAATATTAGCGTATTGTAGTCATTTATGTAAGAAAAAAAACGAAAAATGACGAAATTTCAATAAAATTGACTTTTTCCAACTACATAGATTTTATGGGTCCATCAAATTTTGTCCGATCGGTTTCAAATTTTTTAATTGTTTTTTTAACATCAAAAGGAAACTTTTTCAGCCCGGGGAGCGATAACATTGTCATTACGGAAAGTCTCCTAACAAACCACGGCCAGGCTATGGTACACTATACAACGTTCAGAACGTTACTGTCGGCCAGCTCAAAGAGAAACATGCTCGTGCACCATTTTGACGCAAAAACAGCGTTTTTGAATGGAAAGCTGCGGGAAACCATCTATATGAAACAACCACGAGGTTTTGATGTTGACGATTCAAAGGTGTGCTTACTCAAGAAAAGCATTTATGGATTGAAACAGGCTGCGAGATCTTGGAATACTGAGCTTCATGGGGTTCTCATCGGGGCTGAATTTCAACAAAGTTACAACGATCCATGCCTGTATTCAAAGAAGATCAGCAATGAATTTTGCTATGTAATCATCTACGTTGATGACTTGATTGTGGCATGTTCGACGAAGGAACAAATCGTGGACATTGAAAACATTTTTAAGCCTCACTTCGTGATGCAAGATTTGGGACCAATCAATTACTACTTGAAAATGGAAGTTACCAAAGATGATTGTGGCAATTTTGAATTGAATCAGTCAGCATACATTACGAAAATTGCATCGGATTTTAGATTAACAGATGCAAAGCCAGCGAAAACTCCAATGGAAGTCAATTATGGAAAGTCAGATCCAACACAGCCATTGGAAAGCAACAAGAAATATCGATCACTGGTTGGACGATTGCTGTATCTGTCGTTAAACTCAAGACCAGATATTTCGGCTAGCGTTAGTATCTTAGCGCAAAAGGTGTCACAACCGACCAATGAAGATTGGAATCAGCTCAAACGTGTTGTAAAGTATTTGAAGGGAACACATAAAATGAAATTGAAGGTGGGCAACATGCAATCAAACGATTTGTCATTATTTGGTTACGCAGATGCTACATGGGCTGACGATCGAGACGAAAGAAAGTTGAACAGCGGTAGAGTGATCTATTTCAACGGCGGAACAATCAGTTGGGCATGTAACAAGTAAACTATCGTAGCTGGATCATCATGTGAAGCTGAATTCATTTCAATATCGGAAGCATCCAAAGAAGTAAAATGGTTGCGACAATTGTTGGAAGAAATGCATGAACAAATCGAGAGTCCAGCAATCATATTCGAGGATAATTTAAGTTGCATTGATTTGGTACGAGACCACAAGTTCTCGTATAAAACGAAACATATCGACACGCGATACAAAATGATTCGTGACTTGGTAAAGAAAAAAATCATCGGATGTGAATACTGCCCAACAGAAGAAATGGTTGCAGACTTATTGACAAAGCCGCTATCTGCAATCAAACACACATTTAGTACAGTTCAGTTTGACAGCTAGCGAATACACTTTTACTTTTCACATTTACATTCATTCCGTTTATACCGCTACAATAGAACAGTCATTGAAGTCATATGTACGTACATACATTGAATTTCACAACATTACATCATTCTTTTGTTTTATTTCATAATTAGTTTCCAGATTATTATTGAAGTTATTTCGATCAAGGCAAGTTAAATATCATTCGGAAAAAGGATATTCTACAACTAATTTATTCAAACTCAATCAAATACAATAAACTCAACGCTATGTTGATAATCAATTCAGATGACTACTTTGATATTCAACACCTCCCCTACTAAAATTTTACCATTGCGTAAAAATGGTTGGTGTCAGTAGTGTATCCTTCCTTCCTTCCGCAAGAGCTCGATGAAATCGAATGAATTGCATTTTTCAATAACCAAATGTGGTGATTAAAGGAACGTCGATGCTCTTCAGGCCAAACTTCATTGATTTTCATTTTAAGCAGTTTCTCCAGTTTGCGTTGAATCTCGTGAAGATTTTTGATGTTTCTTCTGTAGAAATTTGCTGTTGCAAAAAGTGACCGGAGTTCACTTAAATTGGTTGGAGAATTCACGTGAATGGTTCGAACATGAATAGCATTCGAATGATTTCTGATTTAGTGGTGCAGAATCCATTGAAGGGTTTATTCTAAAGATGGAATAAATCAAGTAGATCGTTTCCAAAGATGTTTAGATCTTCATGGGATGAAACGAAAATTTTTGTTTTCTTCTTTTCGTTCAAAAATTTGATTGTGCAATCAATTTCTCCAATCAAGTCGATCAATTCACCTGATGCGTTTTTCGGGGCCAAGTTGGTCGAAAGCGGTTGAATTCTCAGGTGTAATTTTCGGCAATTACTTTTCGAGATAATCGAAATGTCGCCAGCTGAATCGGCTTGAAGTTGAACAGGTTTGTTGTTGATTAGGACGTCAACGAACTTCTTTTTTGAATGGCAATCGACTTTGTGAAGTAGAACGGAGGAGACCTTCGGTTTATAATTTGATGAGTGACCCTTTGATTTGTTTGCGTTTTCTTGTGAGTGTTCACGACTTTTGGAGTTTTCATATCGTTTTTTGGATCTGCAGAATTGGACCCAATGTCCGTTGTATCCACAAAAATTGCATTTTGATTTTGCTGCTGGGCACTGGTTTGGTGAATGAGTTTTACCGCAATTGTTGCAATCGTCAAAACTGTCGGGATTTTCCAGAATTGTATCTGGTTTCGGCTTGTTTTCTTTTGAGAAGTGATTGTTGTTTTTCGACACTTGGTTTACTAGGATTGAATGTTCAAATCCTAGTGGTTTTTGTATTATCGAAGCGTCCCGTTTTAGATTAATCAATCGACCGTATTCGTCACTTAGCTTTTCGAGCGTGATTTTATCGTGTTCGGCATCAAGTTTTGATAAAAGCTTTGTTCGGATGTCGAGATCTTTGGTCGATGATAGACTGGCAACGAAGATGAAACATTTAAACTGGTCGATGGACATTTTCTTCAGTTCAAAATCTTCACAAGTTATGTTGACATTTCCCATGTAGTCGAGATAGTTCATTTCATCATTTTTGTTAATTTTGAAACACTTGAAGCGAGTTTTGAACAGGGACTCGTGTCTTCCAAATAGTTTCTTCAACTTTTCGATGGTTTCAGTGAAACTGAATTCTGATGAACGTTTTGGGAGTATGTAGTTCATATACCTTTGGTGAGCAGACGTTTCCAATTTTCGAAGTAATAGTCTCACTTTTGCAGAGTCGTCCAAGTTCGCTGCGTCTCTTTCGAAGAAATCTTGGAATCGTCGATACCAGTTTTCCAAGATGCAATCGTTTTCGGGGTCGAAGACAAATTAGGTGAGTGAGGTTGATAAAGCTTCGATTAAAAACTCGGGATCCGTGCTTTTTCGAGGGGCTCCAACGAGGTTTTCTGTCGAACCACGATTCGATACATTGTTCAAAATGCCGAGGATTTCGTTGATGGTGGTTTGAGTATGATTGTGACGGGTTTCTTGCTGTTGCATTTGTTTATTATTATTATTATTCTGCACCATACAGCGTTTCTTTGCCAAAGGTGGTTTATTTGTTATAAATATCATATTAATATATTTACAATATTTCTTTTATTTTCTCCACACTCTACTTCTTTTAAAAAATTCAGTTACCCTTTGTTTAACAGTATCAGTACTAACATTGAAATCAATTAGATAAGTATCACAAATTGGAATAACATTAGTATCACATCCATCAGTTGCATATGGCGGTTTAATAGGAACATATTTCTTATAAAAATCGTTATATGTAATAAGCATGTTATTTGTGGGCTCAAATTTGGAATAATTATGGTGTCTTATTGGTAGTGATAAGAAATCTATATCTCTTGTCCGATGCCGTGGTGTTCTGATTCTTATTTGGCTGGTTATGTATTTCGACGATGTATGTCCACATAGTACATTATGCACCATCGATATTTGAGCAATCTTTCTTCGTTCATCAAGGGTAATCATTTGTAAATGCATCAATCGAAATTCATATGATGGTAATTTGAATCCGTTTGACCATCTCATTCTGCGCAGTGCAAATAGTAAAAATTGCTTTTGTATGGATTCAAGTCTAGCAATCTTGTCGGCAGTGTATGGGTTCCAAATCTGGGAGCCATATTCTATAATTGGCAGTACAAAGGTGAAGAAGAGTTTCTTAATAGTCCATGGATCCTCAAACTCTCTTCCAAAATGCTTTATCCAAGCCAATCTTGATTTTGCTTTGGCAGTAATGAACTCAATATGTGCATTGAAGTTCATTTTCTCATCCAGTATAATGCCGAGGTCCTTAATTACTTTGACACGGTTAATCTTCTCATTGTCTATCGTATATTCAAATTCATACTGCAACTGTCCACGGTGATATGATATGCAATTTGATTTCTTGATGTTCAATTTTAGTCGATTGTCCCGGAAATATTTTACAATTTTGTTGAGATCGTTTTGCAGTTCTTGGCAGTCTTCAAAATTTTCAATGTGTTTCCATAGTCTAGTATCATCAGCAAACGACTGTAATATTGATTCGAGTGTGTGATGTGGCAAGTCAATAATAAATAAAATGAACAGTGTTGCGCCAATTGGGTAGCCCTGACCAGTTCCCGAAGTAACGTTGATGGAATTTGACATGACATCATTTAGTTTGACAATCTGCTGCCGTCCATTCAGGTATGATTCAATCCATTTAAGCAATTGTTCGTTCAAGCCCATGATGTTTAGCTTCTGGATAAGCAGCGTAACATTGACAGAATCAAACGCTTTTGCTAAGTCGAGATAAATTGCGTCCGTTTGAATGTGTTTGTCCATCTTCGTTAAT